GTGATAATATGAGAGTATCATATTAACCATTATGCGTTCTTTAGTCATCTCCTCCTTTCTTCCTTTTTTTTTTGGTCCCTTTTTCTCTCGTGGCAACGCCCCCTTGTCTTTTTTCACCATTCCCACCCTTTTCTTAACCCTTTTTTCTCAGTCCCTCCCTCTATGTCCCTTCCTCTTCTTTTTCTTCCGGTTCCTCCCCCTATTCGTTCCCTCACTTTGTGTCGCTTTGTCTCTCTTCCTCCCCTCCCTCCCTTTCACCTTTGCTCTCTCTAGTGTGCTCTCTCCTTCTACCTTCCCCAATGCCAACATTTTAAAATATAACCCCCATGGAGGGAATTTTACTGTAGTGTTTGTGATGAGGTCTATCGTTTAATAGTTTGAAGGACAAACATTCTGCCCCCCCCACCCCCCACAACTACTAATATCACTAGTACAACTAGTAGTGCTATTTCAACTAATACTGCTACTACCATTACTAATACTACTACTAATAGTATTTCAACTGGTATTAATACTAAATGACTCTTACTATTACTAATACTAATAGTAGTTGTACTAAAAATACTATTTCTACCAGTAGCAGTGACCCAGCAACTGATATTACTACTCTTACTACTATAAGAAAACATACTACCAGTATTTATACTGCTATTAATACCACAACTACTACTCATTTTACTACAAATACTACAATGACTAACAATTTAGTATTACAGATGATAAGATTAGTAGTACTACTAACACTATTTTTCTACTGCTATTGATACTAAAACTACTACTTATTCTAATGCTAATATTATTACTGCCAACATTACAATTACTACTACTATTACTACAAAAAATACTCAGCTTTTGTCATTTCTGAATTTTCAGCAATATTTAAATTTATAAATGTCTTTATTATTTATCATTCGAAATTTTTTTTAGTCCATTTCAGATTCTTCCATTTCTGTATTTCCACCAATTTCTTGTAACTTATTTAAGCTTGATGTCTGTAGTTTCATCAATATTTTTATATTCTTTCTATAGTTGTTTCATTTCTTTATTTTCAGCAAATCTATGGGAATTCCTTTCCGCTTCTCCCATTTCTGTATTTTCATTTTTACAGTTTCCGACTGCAGCTTCATTTCAAATTAATTGCAGCTTTTTTAATATCTGTAATTTCACCAAATGTATTAAGATTTCCTTCAAGTTTCTGTATTTTCAGCAATTTTCTGAAGTTCATTTCAGCTTTCAGCATTTTGCATTCGAACGCATTTTCAGCAGGAAATGCATTTTCTAGTTTTGTCCTACAATTCTGTATCTCAGGATATACCTGAAATGAGGCGTTACTAGGTAGCGTGACATAAAATCCATTTTGCGGCCATCGTGCTGATTCCGTCGCTGGTTTGTTTAAGAGTGACCTCTTACGGTGTGTGCATTTGTCTTTTTAATCACACGTCCACAATGTCTTTTTCTAATGTCTTTTCCACGTATTAAACTTATCCGGCCAGGCTCTTGTTTCTGGTGATTTTTCTGTCCAGGATTTTTTGTATTTTAAAGACTTTGTTTTTACCTATAATTTCTTTTTGCAACTCTCTCTCATAAAACGGCCCTTTCACAGACTCACCCACACAGTCTCTAAGCTTATAAACTGGTGGATCTCTGGCCATACACTTTGATATTATAAAATGCCCAGATCGGTGAATGTTTGTTTATAACCCTTCCTATACACCCTCCGGAGTTTTGATATTCTCACGGTGTCATCCTTGTGAAATTTGAAGCTAACAGTCTTTGGAGGATTCAACTTAAGATGTTTGATGACAATCTTTTCATTGTCTTTATATACAGCCAATGGAGCCATTTCTTTTAGATATATGATGCGAGTATACGCATCTACAAGATCTTGAACCACGTCCACATATCTGAGTGAATTAACAGATGTTAAATATCTCCACATTTGTGTCTTGTATGTCATGTTAAAGCGTTCCACCACACTTGCTTTGGTCATGTTTGAAGTTGAAAAATGTGTAATTTTATGTTGATCCAACAGTCTCCTAAACTGCTTATTATGTACGTATGAGTGTGTGTGGTGTCAAGGGTAATTTGCTTTGCAAAGTAAAAATATGTTTCACAGGCTTCAATTCGTTCGTTGTTTTTATTTGTCTTGCTGATACATTTTAATCCACAGATAACTACAATTATTGTCTCATAAAATTATGTAAATAGAAACAAACATTTTCTGGTTAACTTTGTAATAGAACAATGAGTCAACATCCAACTATTAATGCTAGTTTGATTACAACATTTTGTAAAGATGTTGGTGCAAGATGTTGAAACAACATTATATTTGTGTTTTTTTTGCCACAGTTGATAATACACTTAAGAAACAACATATCAGGCACTTTGTACTAAAAATAAGAAAAGATTGAACTTTCATTCAGTCAGGAAGCACTTTGCTCTGCAGCTGTTGCAACACACTTTAGAAAAGAGTCAGAAAATAGAAGAAAGCTCACGCAAGAAGTTCAACCTGTTACATACAAACACCATCATCTCAATGGTTAAAGATTCCATGTTGTTTAAAGGAGGTGGGACATGTTCCTTAGCGGTATCGTATACTGTCATGTTTTCCTGGTAACTGCTATTTTCAAAAATGAAGAAACTCCGGACGGACAGAAGACATATTGGATTGAAAAGTGAAAATCAAAAGAATTTATTAAAAGAAAAGGTGTTGTGCTAAACAGAACATCTCAGTTTATAATATTCCACACTGTCTTATCTTTTCCTCCTCCTCTTGTGTCAGTGCCTCCACAGCTTCTAGAATCTCGTTGGTGCAGCACCTTCCTTTGTTTACTTTAATCATGTGATTGATGGTCTTCATCAGCTGCTTCACTTGGAAATGGTTGCTCCTGTAATCATCCGGCTGGTTGTTCTTCCAGTATTTGTTATCAACGACGTGGCAGCGGCCTCCACACTTCTTCTTCAGATCACTCACAAGCTGATTGTTGTGGAAATATTGCTCAATGGTCTGTCCTTCCTCGAGCTTGCCACCATGAGTAAAGACGACTGTTGCATACTTAAAAGCTTCTTCAGAGAAGCATCGGTTGATTTTATAGATCACTTCCTGCTCCTGATGTTTGAATCTCCTCACCTTAAACACTATGATAAAAGCATGAAGTCCCGGAGTGATGCACTTCACTATTTCAGCCTTCAGCTTCTCATCACGTCGACCCGTGTCAAACAAACCAGGAGTGTCGATCAAGGTGACGCCTCTTCCATCGACACATCTGGTTTCTGTTTGACAGTGGCTGATCTGGAACAGTTTCTCTCCTAATATGGTGTTAGCCAGGCTGCTTTTCCCAACTCCTGTCTGTCCCAATATTACAATTCTAATCTCTGAAAGCAAATATTAATATGAGCTTAATTCCAATCAATATTGTTATTGGTCAAAAGGTACAATGAAGATTGAAAGTAGTTCGTACTTTACTTTAAAACAATCATTAGCATAAGAGAATAATGTAACAAAAAAGGCCCACAAGCATGAGAACATCATGTCAGCTCTAACCGCACCGAAAACAAAAAGATGAAAAGATGACGGTGAAAGAAATGAATTTACCGTTCATGTCGTCGAGGGTGAAGTCCAGTAGAGCGACAGTTGGACGGAGCAGACTGAGTTTGAAAGTGTTTCCTGAATCTTCTCTTGTAAGTATGTTTTTCACCACAACACGTTTGTTACTTCCTCCTTTCACGTGATCTCCCCTCAGTCCTCATGAGGTTCCCTTTTTAAAAGGAACTAATTCAACTAAAGCAATTTATGTTCTGTACCGTTCACCAAGCACAGCTTCAACTTGTTATCCAAACGTGTCATTCAGGACGTCTTTTCTTGTCTGTTTTATTTGAAGCTGGTTTCATTTCCTGACTGAATAGAAGCGACAGAGAGAAACAAAGACACTGTCGTGTTCATCACTGCATTAAAAACACTTTTATCACGTGCTTAAAAAAAACACCTCATAAACTTTAGATTTTTTCAAATGCTTATTCTCTATTAGGATAGAAAGGGAACGGACACTTACCTAAAGGATTATTAGGAACACCTGTTCAATTTCTCATTAATGCAATTATCTAGTCAACCAATCACATGGCAGTTGCTTCAATGCATTTAGGGGTGTGGTCCTGGTCAAGACAATCTCCTGAACTCCAAACTGAATGTCAGAATGGGAAAGAAAGGTGATTTAAGCAATTTTGAGCGTGACATGGTTGTTGGTGCCAGACGGGCCGGTCTGAGTATTTCACAATCTGCTCAGTTACTGGGATTTTCACGCACAACCATTTCTAGGGTTTACAAAGAATGGTGTGAAAAGGGAAAAACATCCAGTATGCGGCAGTCCTGTGGGCGAAAATGCCTTGTTGATGCGAGAGGTCAGAGGGGAATGGGCCGACTGTTTCAACCTGATAGAAGAGCAACTTTGACTGAAATAACCACTCGTTAGAACCGAGGTATGCAGCAAAGCATTTGTGAAGCCACAACACGCACAATCTTGAGGCGGATGGGCTACTACAGCAGAAGACCCCACCGGGTACCACTAATCTCCACTACAAATAGGAAAAAGAGGCTACAATTTGCAAGTGCTCACCAAAATTGGACAGTTGAAGACTGGAATATTGTTGCCTGGTCTGATGAGTCTCGATTTCTGTTGAGACATTCAGATGGTAGAGTCAGAATTTGAATGAGAACATGGATCCAACATGCCTTGTTACCACTGTGCAGGCTGGTAGTGGTGGTGTAATGGTGTGGGGGATGTTTTCTTGGCACACTTTAGGCCCCCTAGTGCCAATTGGGCATCGTTTAAATGCCACGGCCTACCTGAGCATTGTTTCTGACCATCCCTTTATGGCACCATGTACCCATCCTCTGATGGCTACTTCCAGCAGGATAATGCACCATGTCACAAAGCTCGAATCATTTCAAATTGGTTTCTTGAATATGACAATGAGTTCACACAGACGAGATGAGATCTCAACCCAATAGAGCATCTTTGGGATGTGGTGGAAGTGGAGCTTCGTGCCCTGGATGTGCATCCCACAAATCTCCATCAACTGCAAGATGCTATCCCTATCAATATGGGCCAACATTTCTAAAGAATGCTTTCAGCACCTTGTTGAATCAATCCCACGTAGAATTAAGGCAGTTCTGAAAGGGGGTTAAACACTGTATTAGTATGGTGTTCCTAATAATCCTTCAGGTGAGTGTATTTTGTGACCCAAACACTCACTAAAAAAAGGTTTTGTCATATCGATAACATTTATTTTCACAGCACTGGAAATGAGGAAGGCACTTGTAAATGACGAGGTACAACATGTAAACCACCCATTTGACCCCTTTACTTAAGATGTGCAGAACACTGGCTGTGATACTGTAATAAGGAGAATAAATATGAAACAAAAGGGAAAACATGGCAGGAAGAGAGCATCAAGTTGACGGCGGCGAGCACCGCCGCGGCGATCGGTTTGGAGGAGTACACCGCCATGCACCACTTGAGAGCCGTGCGCTGGTCGTAGGTCACAGGGTCGCTCATGGGAGGTCATGTGTCGGCGATAACGATGGTCACGTATTCTGCTGAAAGTCGATTAAGGAAGAGAATCACTGAAGTTTGTTTTATGATGAAACTTTTTCTGCTCTCTTAACTTGGTGACACATGCGAAACTGAAGAGCCCATAATAAAGACACTTTTAGAGTTTCCGACTGCAGCTTCATTTACCTGCTACGTTGATGTCAAGTGTTTTATAAACGCATGTCGATGACAAATGCTGAGAAACTGCAGCATCAAGCTGCTGAGTGGATCTCGGCGGAGGAACGTGAGAGCAACGTGATCAGGCTGTGAGCTGCTCAGAGGAGCTTCTACCGGAAATGGAGGCATTTCTGATCAAACTTCGACGAGCTGTAAAGTCCCTCGTGCTGACACGAAAGACGTGGTTGTTCCCTTCCAGCTGAAGATGTGCAGAACTCTGGGACGTTGGTGCCCCGTAGTGTCCAAACCGAGGGAATCTGTTTTATGTGATTGAGCTTTACAGTCTGATACAGAACATGCAGAATCCATGCAGGCCCATGTGCCATCGGGTATCAGATTAACTGTTTCGTCTTTCTGTTGATGAGGTAACGGCACGTCTGCAGGAAGACAAGAAGTAAGCTCGGACTCTGTGAGCTGCCCCCCCCCCCCCCCTCACGTAGGCAGGAAACAGACCTCGGTTTGCTCTTTCTGAGGTTGATACTTTCCATATTTCAGGCGTCACTGCAGATCACGTGCATACGTTTTGGATGAGTGTACGTGATCAGAGAAGGCCTCTAAAACCACGACCACACAGATTGAAGGTGTTTCAACATGTTTGTTGCAGTGGTCCTGCTGTGCGCCTGGCTTACTACTCACAATTACTTGAATAATTTCTGTCATGGGAATGAATACATTGTTCATTCTGTACACATGACATCCATTGTAGTCTGTCCATCCCGGGAGTGGGATCCCTCCTCTGACGTTCTCCCTAAGGTTTCTCCCCTTTTTTTCCCTCTTGGAAGGTTTTTTTTTTTCATTTTTTGGGGAGTTTTTCCTGTGCCGATGGTGGGTTTCGGGACAGAGGATGTTGTATGTGTACAGACTGTAAAGCCCTCTGAGGCAAATTTGTAATTTGCGATTTTGGGCTATACAAAATAAAATGAATTGAATTGAATTGAATACAATGCAATAAGTATATTTGGTAACATTTAAACAGGAAGGTTGAAGGTGTTTCATTTCCTCTAAATAAAACCTTTGGGCTTTTTCTTTTAAAAGCAGTATTACAATACTAGTTATCCGTTGTGCACCCGTCATACATTTACTTTTCAAAAAACCTTGAAGTGACATTTTGTTAGGGGTGACCATACGGCCGACGGGGAGGTTGAAGAGGAACCAACGCCTCCCTTTATGAATCATACATTTTATGATTCATAAAGTCAGAAACTATTTTGGGCTTAATATTGAATTGATAAGTGTGGCTGAATGAATGCCAACAAGAAGCCATATGGAGCAAGTTGTTGGGTTTGTTTTATTTTGTCTGGTCTTTTGGTCTCGTTATTTCCTGTTTTATTTTGAAATAGTAACTCTCCTCCCGTTTCAGTTCACTTACCCTTCCTCATGTGTCACCAGTCTGATTGTCTTCCCTGATTCCTGATTGTGTCCACCTGTTCCCCATCGCCCTCCATGTGTACTAATAGTCTGCGTCTCCCTTTGTCCTGTGCCAGTGTGTTCGTCTCTCCCCTTGTGTTTGTGCGCTCACTCCAGCCTCGCCATAGATACCAAGCATTGAAAACCAAGTCATTGTATTCTGCTCCGTTGTTTTCCTCCAAGAGAGTGATTTTGATTTTGTGAGATTTTGTATCATAGATTTAGTTAAATGGTTAAAGTTTTCATAGTGTTTTCTTTCCTCCTGCCTTCAGTTTGAAGGAGGGTTTTTGTTAAGTGAAGTTGCCTCCATTGAAAGAGTGCTTACCCGTTGTTATTTTGATAAAGTTAAAAGTCTTTGTTTTCCTCCTAGAGTTCATATTTTTTATAGCCACACTTCTTACTAAACTATTTATTGGAAGAAGTGTGTTCTAGATAATGTTGATAGCTCGTATTTATTTCTCTGCCTTGGAGAGATTCAGTCTTGCCAATAAAGACTAAAAATCCCTTGAAAACCCTGCATCTGTGTTCTGCTGGGTCGTGACATTACGCGGTAAATTTTATTGATATTGACCCTGCGTGCATGTGTGTCTATGTGCAATGCGTGTGTGTAACTTTTACTGTTTTGATGTGTTCGCCTAAATAACAAACATTCATAACTCAGTACCTACCCTCTTACTGACATCACCCCACATCACTGAGATAGAGAGAGATATAGAGATATAGATATCTATATACAAACCCAATTCCAAAAAAGATGGGACATTGTACAAATTGTGAATAAAAAAGGAATGCAATAATTTACAAATATCAAACTTATATAAGACAAATGCTGAGAAACTGCAGCATCAAGCTGCTGATTGGATCTCGGTGGAGGAATGGGAGAGCAACGTGATAAGGCTGTAAGCTGCTCAGAGGAGCCTTTACGGGAAATGGAAGCATTTCTGATCAAACTTCAACGAGCTGTAAACTCCCTCGTGCTGACACGGAAGACGTGGTTGTTCCCTTCCAGCTGAAGATGTGCAGAACTCTGGGACGTTGGTGCCCCGTAGTGTCCGAACCGAAGGAGTCTGTTTTATGTGATTGAGCTTTACAGTCGTGCTGCTACATTGGAGTTTACCCCGGTGGACAAAAGGGTCGCCTCCCTATGCCTTTGGGTGGTTTGGAGGAAACTCTGACTATTGTCGGTGCAAATGCACCAAACAGCAGCTCAGAGTATTCAGCCTTTTTGTCTTTAGTAGGGGACTCCATAGTCCTACTGGGAGACGTCAATGCACACGTGGGTGACGATGGAGATAACTGCAGAGGTGTGATTGGGAGGAATGGCCACCCTGATCTGAACCCAAGCGGTTGTTTGTTGTTGGACTTCTGTACCAGTCACGGATAGTCCAAACAAACACCACGTTCAAACATAAGGATGTTCATAAGTGTACGAGGTACCAGAACACCCTAGGCCAAAGGGTGATGGATTTTGGAATCGTCTGATCTGAGGCCGCATGTTCTGGACACTCTGGTAAAGAGAGGGGCAGAGCTGTCAACTGATTACCATCTGGTGTTGAGCTGGGTCAGAGGATGGGGGAAGGCTCAGGACAGACCCAGTAAACTCAAGCGTGTAGTGAGGGTGAACTGGGAACGTCTAGAG